AGAGGCTTCCGCTACCTTCTACAGTGTTTGTACATACATATATATGTTCCAGTTTGCATCTTTTCTATATACAATACTGTACGGTACTCTACTCCACTTTACTCTACGGTACTCTTAGGCTTGCCGTTATGTTTGTGCTGTGCTATGCTACCCTACTCAGACTCTATTCCGCTTGCATATCTGTGTAGGTATAGCCACGAGCACGACTGAACCACTGCAGTGCAATGCTGCGCCGATGCAGAGTAGGACATGTGGACCAAAATGTATACCTGACTAGGCAGTCGAGATGTCACCCAGCTGAGCTTGGCGCGCTTTCCTGCTCTAGTATGAGTACTATGTCGTATAAATGGAGGGCACACAGTAATGCAGGAGCCTACGATGGAGGCTGTTGTTTTGGCTTCTGCGGATGTGTCGCTGAGAGCGGTTGCAACAACGGAGATCTACCAGCAAGCACTGTTTAGTTGGAACCGGGGTTGATGACAGCTCCAATAGCTGTAGTGGTTGCAAAACTGCATTTCGTAGTTTTTACCTGCCCAGGTAGTTGATAAAACTTTGGGCTGGAGTCTCTTTGCCGGGCCATGATTCTGCCACCCATCGATGGGGGTGTGCGTGCGGCACCCGCGCAGCCGCGCAGCGACAAACGGCGCGGCAGTCAGTTAGGGGGCCATAAGTTGTAACAGTCCGGCGATTTCATGAAGCCACACAAGCATCAGAGTTGATGAATTTGCACCTTATTCGCTTGTTCACCTTTCACCTTCGTGGCTCAGGAGGCCCTCCGAGCCAGAGAGGTCCACCTCGTTGAAGGCTCGGACGTTTCAGCGGGTTTGTGCAGGATTCCTGATGCTCTACGTTCAAACTAGCATGAGCATGATCGAGCATCACGCGGGTACATGCTGGAGGCCGTCCAGTTGAAGAGTCAAATCAAGGCGGGCTGGGACCCAGGGTGGACATGGTCATGGGTGATGGTAGCTCCGGACGTAGTAGCGCTCACTTGCGGCTTGCGCGTACGGTACGCAAGCGATCTGATGCTGAGGCCAAATTTCATGAGCTTGATGTCAACAAGGCAGGTCTTGAGCACATCTCCAGTGGGCCAGTACCCAAAAATCGTACCAGCGCAAAGGACGAGATTTGCCATGATTTGACTCATGCTGCACAGGGTGGCCACAGGAAAGCTTAACCTGAATAGGACCCAGCTGTACCGCCACAATACCGAAGAAACAGCGGGGGAACCAGGATGGCTGCTTGTCGTTCGAGGAGCTGACTGTGCAGCTCGGCGAGCACGCATAGCAGGCCGTGCGAGCCTTCCAAAGTATGACAACAATCAGGTTCCTGGGATGTTTGTCTACGAAGCTCACAGAGAAGGAGGTGCGCGAGATCTTCAGGAGATCGTGCTGCTTCAGAGCTACTTTCATCAAGGTGTCAATTGCCCTCTGTTTTGGAGGACCATGGATCGAAACAGCATCCCGGCTAGAAGTTGTAGTTGCGGCAAAGTTGGCCTGGGCTGTCTTGTGCCGTGTGCTTCCTTCGCTGCGCTTGGCTCAGTCGCACGGCAGAGAGCTGAAGCCAACAATCGTCACGGCCGTGCAGCATTTGTAGGCGAGCAGGCCACGTATGACCTTAATCAAGACGCCCCAAGCTAGAGCCTGAAAGAGGCCTGGGCGGATTACCGCGATGGGGGCTTCAGTTTGTCTCGGTCTTCCGGCCATGCCAACTGGCCAACTCAGACTTCCGCCCATTCGCCCACTCAACCGATGCCCACTCATAGCTACAGCGCATGGACCCCTCCACCAACCTCCATGCCAAGACCGGCATTCAAACCAGTGGCTCTTACAACTGCCCTACAACTTTACTAGAAACACGCTCGGCTTTATTTGTAACTTCTCCACCTAATCTTCTTGGGCTGGCTCGTCTGAGAGCCACCCACCACCAATGCCAACGCGTGCCCTGGCCGAGCTTCCATTCCACCACCGGTTCTCAATTCGGCATCATTCGGCGGCAAGCGCCCCTCCAACCGTCCCTGAACTTTGCGTGACATCTTCAATAAGGGCAATGGGTAAGGGCAAAGATGGCAGAAAGCAGAAGGGGAATGGAAAAGGCGACACGCTCGGGAACGGTTTCAACTATTGGAGCTGCGACTCATATTCGTATTATTGAGAGACGGAGCAGCAAATCAGTAACGCTTGCGCTAATCTGCTGCAGCAAGATGTGTCACCTGCATGAGTGTTTTGTCCATGACTAACCATTGCTGCTGCAACTCTTCTTGAAGCGGGGCGAGGGATTGGCAAATCTTCCCCTCACGGCATGAGTTTGCGAAGCGAGCTGTCCTTCGACGAGAGACGGGGAGACCTGGGGTGACAAAGCCTCTGCCGAACGGAATGACTGCGAGCGACGAACGACCTGCTGTCTGCCTGGAGACCACCAGTGCAGGGCAGACTGGACTTGTCTTTGCGCCAAGACATGACATGTCAGGAGTGGGAACGCGTGCTTGTCCTGTTTTCGCAAGCCATCTCAGGAGACGAGAAGGTTCAGTTCGATGAGTGCCATGGTGATATCCAGCCATACGGATTTCTGATCATGCCTGTTGATCTGTCATGGGCTGAGTTTGAGACTGTGTGTGCATTGTTTGTGGCATCAAGGTTCGTTGATTTCATCTTCAGCAGTGAGATGGACAAGAACCCGCGCTTGCTTGCAGATGTGGAGGCTGTCCGTGCGAAGTTTGCGTTGTTTGATGTTGCTGTGGTGGTTGTGGTTGTGGTTGTGGTTGTGGTTGTGGGTGTGGGTGTGGGTGTGGGTGTGGGTGTGGTGGTGGTGGTGGTGGTGGTGGTGGTGGTGGTGGTGGTGGTGGTTGTACTACTACATAGTACTGACTACTTACTCCTACTCCTGCTGCCGCTGCTGCTGCTGCTGCTGCTACTACCAGTGCTACGACGACGACGACGACTACTGCGACTACTACTGCTACGACTACTACCACTACTGCTACTACCACCACCACGACTA